TCATGAGTGAGAAGCAGAGTTCAGACTCTGCACCCATACACGGGTATGCTGTGTGCATGTCATTGGGGAAGCCCATCCTCAGCTGATGTGCACTGGTTTCATTCACAGATTTCAACTTGCCTGTGCCAGTGCAGTCAAAAGGAGACCATCTATCATCTCTCTCAGTATCTTGTTTGGAGTTTGGCTAAGAATACTTCTCTCAGCCCTGTAATCAGTTGGGCCTAGGTTGGGCTATTACAAATGTAAATGATAAATGGTTTCTTTGGTTGAGCTTCCCTCCCTATCTCTGACTACTTCCTGATCCTGGGAAATTCACTGGAAGAAAACATACAAGGAAAAGCAGAGAGCATTATGCCTAAGAAGGAGTGAAGACAGTGAGGATTCCAGGTCACCAGGAATTGATTTCCAAGAGAACCTACGTTGTGCTGCTGAGCTGCAACAGCTCGGAAGTAAATGCTGAAAGCGCATCTGGTCAAATGCTGAGGTCTCTCCTAGGTGAGAACTAGGGAGCCTGGCACATGACCTCTTCTGGCTTCAAGAGAGTTTGAAGAGAGAGGCTAAGGTGTTCTTAGCCTCTTGCAGACTAATGTAGAGACTAAGGTGATCTTCCCTTGTCAAGTGCCACAATCTTACCCCTCAGTATTCTAAAAGCTGTCTGCGTTACTCCATCCTGGGCTTGTCTTGGGCAAACCAGGTAGTTTCCCTGGTGAGAAATCTATCCACAGAGCAGAGGATAAGATCTTCAAGGGTATACATCCTGCAGGGACCATGCTGGATTTTGGTCTCTTTGCCCAATACATCACATCAAAGTTCTTTTAGGAGACTTTGAACCCTTATGCTCCCCTTGTGCCATGCCACTTTACCCCGGTGCACTCCATACAAGAAGCCTGGTATAATGTAAAGCATCCTGTGTAACATTTACCTTTCCCTCCTTAAAGACAGAGGGGTGAAGAAAGGTGACTTGAACACCACAAGAGACCTGGTCTATTTGTGTCTCACCTGGGGTCTTGCTGCTGGGAAAGGTCTCCTGGCGGCAGTAACAGGAGAAGCAGCTCAGCACAGCAACAAATGTGGTGCCCAGTGCACCTTAAAATTCAAGAAATTCCAGGTTGTCTATGTTGTGCTGAAAAGCACCATGGTTTGCAACAGCACACACAAGGGGATACACCAAGATTTGCCCTGGAAGGCTCTCCTGAAATCCCTAGCATGGTGCAGTTCCCATCCCACAATCTCTGCCTCCTCCACAGCCATGGGCTGGAGCCAAGGACATGGGAGCAGCATCGCTTTGGGCCATGACATTCCTGCAGCTTCTGACACCATCGGCTGGGAGTACCGCCCAGCTGATTGTCTCACTCCGCATGTGGAGGAGGGAAATGTGCTTACAGGATAGAGCCAAAGGAGGATTTCAGTAGCAGATGTGGGAGGTCACAGCAGGGACACAGCGGCTGGAGCTGGGAACCATCCTGCACACTCCCACTCCTTCCCAACATACGTCATGCCCTGGCAAGGGGCAACTTGAGGAGCTGGCCCCCCTCTCCTGACAGACCCAGTCCAACGGAGTAACATCTTCACACAGCAACCAGCTATGTCCTACTTCTGCTTATTGGTGGTCAGGAGTTGAGTAAGACTCATGACTGACCTGAAAAGCCCCTCCTGACACATATCCATACCGACTATGCCTAAGGCGAAACCCTCCCACAGCCCTTGTACACAAGGGAGGGAATAGTCTCCCTTCCAAGGTGGTTCTGGTCATGCTAAGATGAGCCACTCATCCCTCTGCCTTCCTTCCAGCCCTGCTGTTCTTGGCAATCACAGCCATCAGCATTTGAATTCAATGGATATCCATGTGCTGACCCTGGTGTAGTAGAAATTTCCACATCACTAGCATCAGCTACAGTCTTTCCATGCCACATTTGAAAGACAAGAGACTCCAGACACCCTACCAAAACACCAAGCAGGAAGGATATGACAAGATCAAGAGGATCAACTTGCTGATTCCCCCTCTCCTCCCAGTGGAAGGATGCTCCGTGCTTTGTCTTTCTAAGGGGAATCTCCCAGGATTCAGCTGGAAACAGTGAAGATGAAACATCAACCATCCTGACCAAAGTCAACAAAAATCATTTGGGAAATTCTTCAGAAATGTGTGAAATGGTCTTTCAATGCTCAATGACTTTTTCTCCATACTCACTGCAAGCTTAAAGTCTAAAATCACAGCCACAGCCTGATGTAGACAAGGAATGAATAAAAATGCAATATGCTAAGCATCTTCCAAGCTAAAGACAGAAATGCCTGTAGTAACATCATTGTGTACTTTATCCTCACTATATATACGATTCATCTTACAAAATGCCTTCATACAGATCATACACAAGCATGCAGAAAGAACAAAGCAGAGAAAGAAAGCAAACTGCAGAAAGAAGAGAAACCTCAGCAGCACAGAGGTGGCATGCCCCAGCGACAACCTGCTTTTTTGGATGCCTAATTCCCTTCATGGCTTTTCTTCTCTGTAGAAACATCACAAATTCCCACATATTTAACTTCACAGTGTATCATCTCACCTCTTTAAAGCTTGTTAAAGTACAGAGGTGAACTGGGTTGGTAACCCCTGCAGATGTCTCTAATAAATAGAAACTAGTCAAGAATCACAAGCTGGAACACATCTGATGTGAGCAGAAGAATGTACCCACCAGTCAGGGCTGAGAACACCAGGGAGCCCAGGAGACATCTGAAAAGCACCATGACTGACAGCTCCACTCAAGGGGAAGCTGAGACCGTTGTGGACACTGAAGGTCATTCCCTGTTCTGCAGCAAGGGGATGGAAACATTCCAGGCAGGAGCACCCTGTGTGCTGCAGTGCAACCAAGGGGAGCAGAAGCCCAGCACTGATCTGCAGACCTGGCTTTCTTCTGGCTGCTCTGATTTATTCTGCTGAGCTGTCTTGGGCAAGTCACCTCCTGGCAAATAAAAGGCACGCAGTGTACGAGATGCATTTACATTCTGCAGAGGAAAACCAGATTTTTTTCCTTCCTTTCTTGTGATTTTTAGGAACAAATTCTTAGTTTGGCATCACAACCAGGCACATGGATCTGTTCCCATCTCATATTAACACCCAGCCCTCTCTCCCCAAGGCCCCAGCAACTCATCCTCTTCCAGCCAACGGTTTGCAGGTCATACACCACTGCAGGAAATCCCAGGCCAATAAAAGGTTTTTAAGAGCTCTTGAGCTGTTTTAACTCGGGATTCCACTGGAATTCCCTGGAAAATAAAACCCAATAAACAGCAGGGGGGTTGCTAGTTTACAGATTGGAGATGTGTGGCTGGCTGCTTGTGAGCACTTAGACATTTGGTGGCACTCACAATGAAGAGAAAATGAACTTTGACATTCATGGCCAAAATATTAGTACTAGGTTTTTTGGACTCTGCCCTAGAATAAACAACTGGGACCCCAGAGAGGGAGAGAAATAAATCACATCTCTACACAGCACTTCCACAGAAATATGAGTTTTCTTTCTGCTTATCTTAGCAGCACCTTCCTGCTCATTACGGTTTTTAAACTGATGATGAACACAGCCATGGCTGCCCTGAAGTCAGGTCTGGGCACTGTAAAACCACACAGCAGCCCTTGTCCTGAAGGTTTTACAGCCTCAATAAAAACAAACAAGGAATTAAAGAAGGAAAGAAATCAGTCACTAGCCTAAGGTCACAAAGGAGTTCTGTGGCTTGGCTCGGATTAGAACACAAGTCCTTTGTTGCTTTAGCAGCTCTCTTGTCCTGTCTCCATAAACCATATAGGGTTTCATTATTTCTTGCTTTCTCTTTCCTGCTTTCTCTTCCCTTGACCTATTCCCAGTCCAATCTGCTGGCAAGGATTCCCATCCCCACTGCTGGCAGCCTCAGCCATCTTCACTAACTAAATTATCCATTACTCAGAGCATGACTTTTAGCTTTCTAGCACATCAAAAGCAGCACTGGACTACTGTAAATTATGATTTCTAGCAGCGATATTGAAGTGTGAGTGATAAGAGCTGGCTGGAGTTTTATTGGGGGTTGGTGTAGACAGAATGGGATATGAGAAAGTATTTTTCTTTCTTTGATATTATTTTGTAATAACACAAATCTGAAATGTTTCTCATAGGCAGGTGGGGGAAACCTTGTTGCTCTTTCACTAAAAAACACGCAAGTTTCCACCCTGTTTCTCTACGCAGGGAAAAAGGAGAAGCTTCTGCACAGCAGTGTGTGTGTGCATGTATAAAATGAAGAAAGTTTCAGTTTTGGCAAGAGCCATGTTTTCTTATGGAAAAATAAATCCCATTTCAACAATCTGGATGAGTCTGTACGTCACCATCTCCTCAGACAGCTCCTGCCATGCCCTCCCTAAACCCTACCAAGGCCAGGGGATGGAGGGTGGACTACTGCTGTGTGCCGGGGTGCGAGCATGCAACCAGCCTTTCCTGGCACAATGGAGCCCCTTCCTACTGGACATGGGCTGCTGCCGGAGCTTGTTCCCCCTAAATCAGGTGCTGAGCAGCTCCTGAGGTTGCCGATAGGCAGCAGGTCCTTCAGTCACAGACAGCAGCTATCAATAAACATGACATCACTTTTTTGCCAAGTGCAATAAAGTCACAGCTTTTCCAAGACATGATAACAGGCTCCTTTGAAAGCACAGTTACTGGGTGATGACGAACCCCACAACACCCTATTTTAGGCCTGACCCTGGATTGTTTGGTGCAAAAGGTACATTGACTGCAGCCTGCTGTGAGTTCTGCTAAGATGCAGGAATGAAGCAACTTTCCAGAGAACCAGACTCCTTCTTTGGGGTCCCTTGCGATACCCTCTATAAATCTCTTCCTTTCTCTTCTTGGGGCTGTGCTGAAACTGCTGGGCTCCGGGCCACCACACGCTTGCAATTGGCTCTTGCTCTCCCCCTACTTCTCACTTTCACTCCCATTGGTTTCATGTTCCCTTTGCCAGGCGGAAAAGCTTTCAAGTTTATCCAGCCCAGCAGCAGGGTTTATCCTGGTTCCACCCACTGGGACTTTCCTAGCTTCCTTCTGCACAGAAGGGGGAAAAAAAGGCAGAGGGAGGCCAGCAGCAGGCACCTCGGGGAGCTCAGGGAGCCGCAGTGCTCTCTTTCCCTGAGCTAGGTTTCTATTGTAGGCGGTGCATTCCTTGGGAGGGAGGGTGTGTGTGTGTGTCGGTGCCTTCCCACACTCGGGGCAGCTCTTATTTAATGGGGGTCTCCATGCAGGGCAGACACCAGAGGAGATTTTGCCATGCCCAGTTCTCATCCAGGAGCAGCAGCAGCTCGCACGCCAGGAGCTGTCATGGACCGTGGGGCTGAGATACCCATGGAAGAAGTGGCTCCTGGGACCAGCCCGGCTGCCAGGATGCACCTCCGGGAGGATTTGAAGAGGATACGGTGCGCAGTGCTGCTGTGCCTGCTCTCCGTGCTGGTCCTCGTGCTGCCCATTGCCTACCTGCTGGTTGGACACCTCAGAGCACCCAGCTCCTGTGCTGGACAGGTAAGAGATTGATGGCTGATTTCTATCTTGGTGCGCTACATCCCGCGTCTACAGGGTTGGGTTTGTTTGGTTCTTTTATGCTCTATCATGAGTTTCTCATATTTAAGGGAATGCAAGAAACTCGCTGTTACATTCCTTCTTCCTTACTCAGAGCAAATCTGCCTGGGATAAATGTTAGTTTGGTTTGGTCTTTGTAGGCAACGCTTTCTGTTCCTCTTAATTTCATAAAGGTCACAGCACAAGGCACAACTTCAAAACTTTTAGTGATGTGCTGAAGGAAACACTTAAGAAAAATGGCTAGTTGATGGAAATCAGTGCCTCTCCACTAATCTCAGCCAGATTTTGACACTATGGTTCATCTTCTTCCCTTCTTTCATGTTAAGAAAGGAGAATTCCCCTCCCAGTGTCCTATTTCAAGAAACATCTGCTGACTGTGTTGGTGATGCCAGCGGGTCAGTGCTCATCATCCATCACTGGACAGAGAGATACAGCTCTTGCTTATTATTAATACAAACTCCTGCAGTTGCATGATTTGAGGCAGTTAAGGAGTCTAAATTTAATTTTCACATCCCAATTTTACTTCCATCAAAACTTTCTCAGGATCTAGGGCTCTCCTCTGCTCATCTCCTTTGACAAACAGCTAAACTCACTTTGCTCCTAGCAAGATAAGCTTGCTGCTATGGTTGCTTCTAATGCTTTTCTATGCCACCCCACTCCTTCTTGTGCCAGACTGGAAACAAGTGCCTATTTCCACAATAGGCTATGAATTCAGGAGGGTTGCCCCATGCTAGAATGATGTGTATACACCTAAAGGTTGGAAGAGCTATGGTTTGAATTTTAGCTTCAGGTCTGAAATTCCCCCAGTAATTATCCTACTTGTCCTATGCTCACTTAGGAACCACAACAAAGAAAGCAGTGTTAGTAAGTGACCTTGAAGGCAGCTTTCTAACTTCACACACATTTAGCCTAAGGATGTTTGGAGAGCGTGACAGCTGTACCCATGGCTGCACACATGCGCTCTGGGCTGCACAGGGATGAAGTCAAACGGGCTGGCACGAGTCTGCACAGCTTGATTCTCACGCCCAAGCGATGCTGGACTTAGGGTGCAGCATCTTCTGTGTTATTATTAAACCTTGTGCAGAGTTAAGAGGAGATGCATCAGGCCTAGGCAGTACCTAGGGCTGTTAAATCTGCCTATTTATTTCTTGCATATGTGAAAGTGCACGTTACTGCATTGACCCTTTTACTGCTATCACAAGGATGCTGGAGAGGGACTCTTCATCAGGGACTGTTGATGGGTTCAAACTTACACAGGGGGAGTTCAGGTTAGATATAAAGAAGAAGTTTTATACTGTGAGGGTGCTGAGACACTGGAACGGGTTGCCCAAAGAAGTGGCAAATGCTCCATCCCTGGCAGTGTTCAAGGCCAGGTTGGACACAGGGGCTTGGAGCAAGCTGCTCTATAGTGGAAGGTGTCCCTGCCTGTGGCAGGGGTTGGGGCTGGATGATCTTAGGGTCCTTTCCAAACCAAACAAATTTGTGATTCTGATTCAGGCCAGCTAGAGCAGGTGCACACAGAATGAAGAGGTGCTTTGGGCAGTCTCAGCTGCATTGCCCTGTGAGGTTGTACAGAGCAGAATAGTTCAGTTCTTGAAATGATCTTAGAGTGAAATAATAGCAAAATGTTAGCCTGTCTGATTGGACTAATGCGTTCCTGGCTCTTGAAGTTGTTGGCAGAGTTACCGAAGTATTTCTGTGAGTGGGTTTGGCTCCTGAAGAGGAAAAGCACAATTTAAGCCATTAGGCTTGCTCTAGCCTGGGCTACACCAGTGTGTTTTTCCATGCGCATGCACAGATTGTTAGTGAGTATGACTCCCACAGTGATGCAGTGAGGTGATCAGATGACTTACAGCCTCTTGTGAGTCCCAGTGAGGAAGAGAATAATGACTGGGGCTGGCTGCCTGCCTGCTTCCTTCCTGCCAAGGCCAGAGGTGAAGCTGCAGTTCAGCTGGATCCTGTTTTCCATTCACTGCTTGTGACTGTCACCAGTGTGGTGCAGCAGCAGAGTGCTCTGGCTGCCTATGAAGCTTTCTGTTAATTCCCCATAGTGCTGTGTCATGCTGAGCTCTGCAGCTCAGCACAGCTGTAGGGAGTTTCAGTCTATGGGAACACTTCCAGGTATAAAGGCTCACGGGAAAAAGACTTTTTGTATTTCCTACTGCATCTTAAGCGTTACAACTGGATTGTTAAAGGATGCTCTTCCCTCATGTGCCCCTTTGATAACCCAGATCAGAATGATAGAATCATATCATAGAAGCAAGGTATGGTTTGTGTTGGAAGGGACCTTAAAGCTCCTCCAGCTCCAACCCCTGCCACAGCAGGGACACCTTCCACTAGAGCAGCTTGCTCCAAGCCCCTGGGTCCAACCTGGCCTTGAACACTGCCAGGGATGGGGCAGCCACAGCTTCTCTGGGCACCCTGTGCCAGCGCCTCAGCACCCTCACAGGGAAGAGCTTCTGCCTAAGAGCTCATCTCAGTCTCCTCTCTAATACCTAATATTTAATCTAATATTACTATTTGACCTAATATCTAATTATTCCAATCCTAATCCTACCTAGAAGGAGAAGGTTGAGCCCAGGTGAATGTGTCAGAGCCCTCTGTGGCACTGGTTTTGGGGTGTGGATGCCCTGGGCATACTGGGAGCAAGTGGGCAGACCCAAGTTTCACCCACTGACCCTTGCATCAGCAAGCTCACAAGAGTCCTCTTCTTGCCCAGGACCAGAGCTGAGCTGAGCTCACACATGCCAGATTATCAACTTCATGTGCATTGGGACAGTGGGAAGGGGGGAATTCAGCAGCAGGTGAAAAGCAGAAGCCCATCCTCCCTGGAGCAAGGAGGAGTGGGAAGGGAGCTGGGGAAGGTTTGTACAATAGGGTTCTGCCTCTTGCATTCACCTGCAGGGTGAGGCAGTTCATTCATCTCTGCCTCTGTGTGGGTGCACGTGGTGCCACATTCTGCTTCCAAAGGGACACAAACTCACCTTTTCCTCAGGAAACATCCCTTTCAGAAAAAAAGGGGGGCAAGTTATGTCAGCACAGCAGGACGGGTGAGCTACCGCTTCTCTCTTTCTCATGGTATAATGCATCTTGCATGAATAATTGAAGTCTGCTGATGGGTTTCCTCCCTGGACACCTTCCAGGCTTACTACACTGCCTCCCTTTTGGAAAAAACAAATCACTTCATTTTGTTCTTCAGGGCAGAGGAAGGTGAGGAAATAGAGTTCTAGTGATCTTTAAGCAATGACACATGGATGGTGTTATCAGCAGGAAGTCTGTGAAAGGCTCTAATAATGCCTTTCCAGGGGAAGGTCCAGGAATGATGTGTATCCTTCCCCAAAGGGAAGCCAAGTTTCAGTCTGAGTGCACAGATCTACCATGGGAACGGCACAGCAGCAAGGAGAGCATCTTTGGGCTGCCTTAGCAACTCTGCTCAGCTAGGCCAGCAGAGCGGAACATCAAGCCCTGCTCTCTGGAGATGTTGTTACTTGGATTTATTTTCATGGCATCCCTAGCATGCCAGGATCACAAGCAGTGTAAAGGGAAATCCCAAAACCTGTTCAAAGGCTTGACATGAACCTGTGTGCCATGTCAGTCTTGCAATGGAGAAGGCAGCTGTTGCAGTACAGGAGTCATAGAATCATAAAATCATGGAATGGTTTGTGTTGAAAGGGACCTTAAAGCTCCTCCAGCTCCAGCCCCTGCCACAGGCAGGGACACCTTCCACTAGAGCAGCTTGCTCCAAGCCCCTGTGTCCAACCTGGCCTTGAACACTGCCAGGGATGGGGCAGCCACAGCTTCTCTGGGCACCCTGTGCCAGCGCCTCAGCACCCTCACAGGGAAGAGCTTCTGCCTAAGAGCTCATCTCAGTCTCCCCTCGGGCAGGTTAAAGCCATTCCCCTTGGCCTGTCCCTACAGGCCCTTGAAGGGCATCAAAGCCAGTTTTCAGTGGCATAGGACAGGTCCCTATCAAAACTGCCCAGTCTGGGCCATACAGCATCTCTGGAGCTAGCAAACCTCTGTGTGCATGTACCATGTACGACCTGTACAGACCCTGCCCATAAAACAGTATTTTGTCCTAAAAAAAGATAGGGTGGAGGTGCTGGGGATATTTTGCTTATTAATCTCTCTCTGCCTGCAATGCCAAGCTGCTTCTCCTGTACAGTTCCCCACCGTATAGCCGCAGCCCTTCCTGGAGGTCCAAGAGGCAAAGCGTGTGAGCGAGGATGTTCAGCCTTTCTTTTTGGCGTTAGCAATATGTATTCTTATCAAATAGCACCATTAGAAAAGTAAGAACCCCAACTTTACCAAGCAGCAGAATGACTCCACACCTCGCAACACCCTGCTCTATCTACTGCATCATACTGCTCTTTAGCATCTCCAAATGAAGCTTTCTCCTCAGCTTTCAGTTGAAATCTTTTTCTTTATTAAAAAAAGAAACCCAAACCCAAAACAAGGAAAAACCCCAAAGTAACCCAGAATTCTTCTTGCTATCCTTCCCACTTTCCCATCATCTCCGTTTGTATTGCAACCTCCAAGTTTATTTGCAGTACTTCAGTGGAAGCTAGGCTTTACATATTTAAGCAGTCCCACTGAAGCTACATGTTTGAATGTAGGTTTGTGATTGATTTGCAGCTCATTGCGGTACTGAGCATCGTTAGAAAGTCTGTCACTTCATAAATATGTAGGAAGTGTCACATAAATAATGGTGTAAATCAAGTCATTCACATAGATATCTGGCCAAAAGCAAGGGAGGAATGCTCGAGGGAAATCCTCCACATGCATCTTGTGCTTCCCACCAACAGAAGGACAAAGTCACCTGGCTATGACGATGTCACATCACCTGGCTATGATTGTGTCCCATCAGAAGTACAGTCGTGTTTAGATGCCACAGCAAGCAGACAGGACCCTTGGTGGTGAAGGGGTTTAAAAGAGGCTTTTCCCTGCTGTTTTCCTTCTCCATTTTATTCCAGCACACTGGAATAGCTGTTTTAGAAACGATGGTTTTATTCAGGAGCACAGGGATGTTCCGTGCTAGTAAAACCTTAAAATATCTCTGGACTTACCAGTGTGGCTGGCAGTCCCCAAACCCAGGCAGCCTGTGATTCTCCTTTCAAAACCAGTCTTCTTCATCCAGCCACTATATATCATCTATTTCCTGCTTCTCCTGTAGTATTTGAAGTTATTCAAGACACAGACACCAGGAGACAGCTTTATCATCTGTGCGTTAATATTATTTCAGGCTGTTTATGAATATGCATCAAATCATTGCCTGCAAGCTGAGCAGGCTCTGTTTGATGTATTTATTGCAGCTGTTCATTAAACACACTATATCAGACCAATGTGCTCCTGACAAACATTGAGTAATGGGCTTCCTGACAGCCAACCCCGAGCTGGCTACATATCCCAGACTGTGTTCTTTCTGCAGCCACACTGTTGGCATAGACCTGCAATGAACTGTGCCCTGGGGAAAGCATAAGGGATGCTCCTCACACCACAGGGAGTCTGGGTCCAGAGTCAGCATCCCACAGCATCCTGCAGTTAGGAGCCATAAAAGAATTGGCACTTGGCAAGAAGCCACTGGCTGTGCCCAAGCATTATTCAGAAGGACCAGCCTTGTTAGGGATGCAGCAGACAGACAGCAGCTTCCCTTTGAACTGCTTGACCTAAACATCAGAACCGCTTGGTGCGGTCCGGGGCCATGTCCTGCTGCTATGCAAATGCATGTTGGTACAGGGATGGGTTATGAGCACGCTGGGGCTCAGCTCTGGACCAAAATGTAAGAGCCAAGGAACTGTGAATCACCCTGCTGTCTCTTGGTAAAGCATCAGTGAGCTGCAGAGCTCACCCTCTGCCACCTGCGCTCTCCGACAGTCTCAGCTCCTGTCCACCCTCCAAAGAGGCTGCCCAACATTCCAGACAGTCCTGAGACAGGGAGGAGTTGCTCACATTGCTCTGCAGAGATTGAGGACCAGGAGAGTCTCTGAGCAGCAGAGGTGCTCCAGCGGTGCTGGATGGAGTCACCATCCCAGTGGAGGGCTAGCAATCACTAATTCACACCAGCCACTCTGCCAGTCCTCTCCTAGTTGTGCCAAGGGCTCATCCAGCCTCTAAACAAGACTGGAGTTGAGCACAACCATCACTACAGGAGCCCAGCTCCTGTCCCTGGCACCCTTTCAGAGGCACGGGCAGTTTCAAACAGCAGAAAGCTCTTGCAATGAAGCAAAGCCTTGTCAGGGCTTGTCCTTTTACACAAGAACTCTAGCTGAACTTGGTAATGTTACAGTAGCACATTCCATTTTCTGGGATAACACAAACAAGACCCTCTATGTCGGTGCTGTACATGCTGGAGCCTGGAACTAACCCATTGGAATCTCTTCTTGCAGGTCACAGAAGAGAGGGGCTCTCGCTTTCTGAAGCAACGGGCAGTAGATACTGGTAAGTTTGCTTGTTCTTCCCTCCCCATCCCCAACACCTTTGTGTGCTGAGGTTTAGCAATCACTGCCGCAGCTCCCAAACCCCTCCCAAGCCAAACAAGCCAGGGCAGATGGAGACAAACCTTGCTACAAGATACAGGGAGATAACTGGGGCCGTAGTGAAAGTGCGAGCCACTCCTAATCCCAGGACTGGGCAAGCTCGTTCTAATGCAGGCACAGACATCCCCGGCAGCTCTCTGGGATCAGCGTAACATGGATTTGGGAGCCCATGCACACAGCCCTCTGATCCATGGACACCACAGCTCCTCTCAGCTCACCCTTCAGAAATATAGGTCTAACGAGCTCATCCATATGCAAAGGGATTTTATTACCTCAGTGGTGTCAATAAGCAGTCTCAGCAGGTAACTCCTGACTCATATGCAGAAATGGAAAGGGGCTGCACAGGTTTCCTCAGCACCACTGGTCACCACTCACATCTCATTGACTTGAATAGCATCTAACATGCTTACTCCTGACTTTTCCCTTTTTCCCTCAGTTACAGAAACACTTCCCAGTGCTGAAAAGCCAAGAGCTCACCTGACAGGTAATGTTTGTTCAAAAATAAAGCGTTTCCCATGAGTATTCCAGCAGATGTAACCTCAGTTTATATGGAGCTGATAGGATCAGGTGTTGCAAGGAAAATAACCATCAACTCTGCCTTGCTGACCGCAACAGATTGACTGCAGGCTGTGTTTGTAGGAAAGGCACTGCAAAGGAGGTAGTCGACAGAAGTGTTGTTGTGTTTCCAAGATGGAATGAGGCATACCTGACCATGGCAGAGGGTTTGGAACTAGATGATCTTAAGGTCCTTTCCAACACAAACCATTCTAGGATTCTATGACTCTATGCTTCTTCCACTGAAAGAGAAGCTCTTGCAACTGTACTAAGTCCCTGGAATTTTAGTGATCTGCTGAATCCCTTAGGAAAGTCAAGGAAAGGAGCCCACATGGAGCAGTGAAGTGGGATGAACTACCAGTTTTGGGAGAAAAATCAAGTAAAATAAGATCAGTTTTAGACCTTATTTTTCTGCAAGATCTTTCTCAGGTCACACACACCATGTTGCCATAAAACTGCTCCTGTTTTCCATGGAAAAGGAAGGATGAACACCTCCAAGCCCTTATGCTGTATTAGGAAGGTGCTGCCACAAAGCTCTATTGCAGGGTAGGCTGAAATATGTTTCTAAGGGGCTACTAGCGTCTGCAAGGCCACCATCTCACCACCTCAGCCGTGAAGGTGTAGCTGTCACCACACCAAGGACGCTGTCCTGAGCCTTCTGTCGTCCTCACCAGCTCCCCCCACCTGGAAAATACAGGTATTATTTCCAGGAAAGAGGAAAAATTCATGGCTGGTTCCCATGGGGATGGAGCGGAATGCTGAAAGGCTCTCCAGCTGCTCTGACCCAAAGCAACTTACAGCTCTCAAAACCTCACTACAGAGGTGACCCCAATGCCCTGTAGTTGCACCAGGGGAGCATGTTAGTAACTTGAAACGTGCAAGAAGTGACATGATGCTTCGCACAAATTCACCTACAGGGTGAAATCAATCTGTATTCCAGAGGTGAGTTCTTTCCCAGCATAGTTTTCTTTCCCTAATCCACAAGCTCCTCCCTTGGTCCCATCCCCTTTCGCATGCAGGTTGCTAGAGCTCCAAAACTGACCTGTCCTTATTCAGAATCCTATCTTTGCTTAAGTGCACGTTTGAAAGAGCAAAAGGACCATGTCTGCTAGTGTAAGTCTCTCCATTTCCCAACTGCCCCCATGCTAGGGAGAGGGGGCAGCCACATTTGGCCACAGCATGCATGAAAAGAAAAAGCTAAGGGGTTCTGCATGTACTATGTAGCCATCAGAGAACCTCATTCCAATGAACTTATCTTTGACCTTTTTCAGCCCAGTCTTATTTCTGGTGCTGAACCCTGTGCAATGAGTTCCCAAGCTTAGCAGAGCATCGCAGTCAGGAAATACTGTTTCAGACCTGCTGCATGATGATTTCTTGGGTGCCCCCTTCCCTTCTCAGAAACCATGGTTCATGCATAGAAAGCGAAAGAGGAACAATTATACTTCAAGTCTATGGGACATTCCGCCACTGCAGGTATACTTTGCAAAGTGAAGGTGGTAGACTACAGACTCTCACTTGTAGGAAACCTCTTCCAGCTCTCTATTCCAGCACACATATTCTGACACATACAGCTTTTTAGACACGTATAATCTGAACGTGAGGAGTGAGAGGAACAAGGGCTAGACCCAGTACTTTCACAGCAATGCACCATTGAATTAGCAATAGCAGAATGACTCAGTGTTTTCATTTCTGTTCCTTTATTATGAACTTTTCACCTGCTTTTGGTCTTTTTAACACACACGGAGCATTTTGAACTTATCCAAACGGGCATCAAGATCTCTTCTTCCTGGGTGGCTATAGCTAGTGAAGAATACCTAGCTAGGACTTTTCTCATCCCCATTCTCTCCTGCGCAGTAACATGTATTTAGTGCTGACTGTGCCGTGCCATCATCCCCTCTCTGACTTGTTTGGTTGCACTTTGGGGCACAATACAGACCAATGCCTATTCCTTCTTGTCACCAGCCTGTGGCATGGTGCAGGAACCCCACTGAGGTACCTGGCTCACACTTACTGTGCTGCCAATGGCCCCTAGACGCTCCACTAAATCTGGTTACTTTCTGGTTCCACTTGATTGTTGGAAGTAATGACCTTTCTAAGGGTAGTTATTAAACTCCCAGGGCACAACAGGAGACTCAGACTCTAACCTCTCACTGAGACCAAGACTCTGGCCTCAGAGTCCAGTGTTCAGTATCAGGTTTTCACACTAGTGAGAGTTTAGATACCCCGCAAGTTCAACAATATGTCCCACAATGTACCCAAAAGCTGCCAAGCAAAAGGGGTTCTTCAGCAAGGGACTAAGCCAAAAGGGATTTGATGAATGGAGAAATAATTTCACATGTAAGAGATGCAAAAAGTTTATAGCGGACAGGAAAGTTGAAGGAACTGTAGCAATGAGCCCCTTATTAAAAGCAGATTTCATTGACTTCAAGAATCAGCATGAGAGGAAGTATGGCTCCATCTACTTACAAAAGAAGTAAATAAAAACTACAAAGTACAAATGCTGCTAGAAAAGATGTGCTGTATTCAAAGGCATTTGAACAGGAATTTTTCCCCCGATCAGGATTGAAAGCATGGGAAAAATTAACTTGAAAATAGAGAGCATCAATGGAGTGAGATTTATCCTAAAAGGGAGGTTGTAGCTGTAAAACTTACAGTTGACTAATTCTAGAAATTATGAAATCATGTACTTCACTTAAGCTGCCTGTTAGTAAGAGACATTGAAGAATTGGGTGTCACTGACACCCACTGCATCATTCTACATGGAAAAGAATATTTCACATGCAGCTTCTCTTCAATTTCCCCCCAAAATTTCCAAGATGGAAAAGAGCCCAGGACATTTCCCAGGAATTTTCTGATCTTTTCTGATCCTTCCCATCTCAAACAGTATTTCATCTGCTACCAACAGATCTCTGAGACATGTTACTCCAACCTCTTGTAAACCTTATAGTGACCCAAATGCTGCTTTAAGCTTTTGCCAGGACTCAGACCTGTCTTTAGACACCCTGAGAAGTAGATGAGGATGGAGGCAGACCATGAGCACTTCCACTTTCTTTTATTCCTCTCTCTCTGTATCAGGAAAAGCTCCATTGGCTCTAACCCTTATAGTTCTTATAATACTGCTATAACTTAGCTTGGCTTGCTACCACAGTCCCTCCTACACAGAAATACTCCCCTCACGTACTTAACCGACTGGGGAAAGACCAGAGAGATTTGATACTTCAGCAGCACTGACAAGCAGGCTGAAAAACACCCATTATTTCATTGTGCTACTCAGAGAATATAAAAGAAATCATACTCCTAACACCTTCTTGTCTCTTTAGGGATTATTGATTTCTAGAAGAGACAGGGAAATAGATGCCATTGGGAGCTGAGCACGTTGCTTTTTCTGAATCTCATTTCACCCAGGATAAACCTAATGGTTATTGTCAACAGAGTATCACAGTAATCAGTACCTGCATTCCATTTGCATCCCTGCCCCTTCCCCAAATATTAAATCAAAATAAACTTTAAACATTAACTCAAGCTCACAAAAAATGTCTCATTTCCTGGAAATCAATTGCCTCAGTCTCTCTCAGCATTTATGATTAACTTTTCAGGTTCATTTTAATACCTGGCAGAACCTGAATGGTTTTTATCCTCTTCCTGTCCACCACTTCACCTGCTGTTTTACCACAATAATTTAATGTGGCAGACAGTAAAGAAAAGAGCAGACAGTAAAGAAAAGAGAAAACTCTTTTGCTTCCCTGAATTAAAAAATGAGTAAAAAATAAGTCTAGGACTTATTCTCCTGGGTGTTGTGTGAGAGAAACTGAAAGAGCAGAGGAGAGGCAAAGGAAATAGGGCAGCAGTTCCCTGATTCATCCCCTGAGACCCTTGCAGCCAGGGGAGCATTCTCAGCCTGGATGAGACTGATGCTGAGGTCTGGCTTAGAGCTCTGCTTGTGATCAGCTAACCACAAGACTGGGAAAAGCCTGGAGAAAGCTGAGGCTGACAACAGCTTAGGGTTTTGTTCCAGCAAAGCATCAAAGAAAAGAAAAGGAAAAGAAAGAGATGAAAACAGTTCTAAATGTAATGCGCTGCTTTGGATTTGGGCCTCTTGAAGCACAGCGGGGTCTTACGAGCACTTGATAAAATCAAATGACACCAGTAAACCAAAGGCAATTCTAAGCAAAATGTTTCATTGAGAGCATTCATGAAGCTTGACACAAGGGCTAACAAAACCTAACATCCTTCAGAAGCAAAGTGGCAGGAATAGAAGCGTCTCAGTGTTTGGTGATAGATCATGCTGATCATGGGGAAATATTTGCATGCACAGTAGTGTCTAAGAAACATAACTGTGAGCCATAGCTACTGAAGAAAATGATGCTTTAAAATTTCTTATTCCTGTCCTGAACCATTAGTTACAGGCATGGTAACTATGTGCAACTGCCCCAGCACTGGTTTCACTTAAAAACAAGGTTTTTACTCTGTAAATAGGTAAGATAGCACCTTGGATGTGTAGGGTATTGCTCCACAGTGCCACGAGACTCAGCCTTCAGGAAGGACAGTCTCTTCATTCAGGATCTGCCCACAACCAGGACATCCAGTCACAGCATGCTCCAGGTAGCCTGTACTGGCCAAGGTCTTCCAAAAGCATCTTGACTTTAACTCCTGATTGCTCAGTCTGGATGCCTTATGAACACCCTCCAAAACCATCACGGGATAGCTGGCCTGCAGCCACTTCATCTCAGCTTTCAAGCTGTAAAATAAGAACATTTCTGTCCTAGCATTTTTATTACCCCATTTAAATAGTTCACCCTTTGAAGCGGAGATCTCACATTGCATCCTACAACATATCCCTGGATAAAGCAGACTAACCCACCCCTTCTTCATCTTTCTTCTTCCCACAGTGAAGAGACAAGACCTCACCACCACCACGGGAAACCATCTGCCCATCCTGCAGTGGGAAGACAAGCGAGGCTTGGCCTTTACCAAGAACAACCTGAGTTACTCCAGCAACTCACTGGTGATACCTGTGTCTGGGGACTACTACGTCTATGCTCAGGTCACTTTCCGAGGGCCAATTGAAAATCACACTAAACCAAACTCTGTCACTGAGATCATCACCAAAGTCACTGACAGTTACCCTGTGCCCACCAATCTGCTGACTGGCACCAAGACCCTCAGTGAAAATGGAAATAACTGGTTCCAGCCCATTTATCTGGGTGCTGTGGTCTCCTTAAAAGTAGGAGACAGGCTAATGGTCAATGTTAGTGACATCAAGCTGGTGGATTACACCAAGGAGCACATCACTTTCTTTGGTGCTTTTTTATTGTAGTCCTGGCAGCAGCCAGTAGGGTCTTCCCATCAGGGTCCTGGTGTGACCTTACTGGATCTTGGCTTTGTGGGTGTATGTTGGGGTGCGAACTCTGTGCTGTTATCCTTCTGTACTGTCACTTCTCTGCAGCTCTCTGCAGCCTTACATTAAGGGGTAGGGAAAGCTGAAGCTGTAGGCTGAATTGAAAGAAGCAAAAACGACTTAGAAAAAAAAAAAAAAAAAACACAAAAAAAGCCAAAACAACTCCCCCAAAAAACCCAACAACCAACCAAACAGAAAAAATGAAAGTAGGATGGGAGGAAAAATACGTTTTTGAAAGTGAAAACTGAGAGCTCTTCAAGAGATAAGGAGGAGCAGTTTGTATTTGTGGGTGGGATTATTGATCCGGAATATTGCAGCTAGGCTACATCACTATCTCCACGTCCAATGTATAAATTAAAGCCACAGAAAAGTGGTTTTGAACTTTCTCCAGCACTTCCAGTATAGTTTTGCATGACCCTTCTTGAGATTCTCAGTTCTAAAAGGTAACTCCTTTCCATCATTTCCTTCTAGAACCATAGAAACAGATCGATACTTCTAAAAGGATTTGCTCAGTACTTTGCACTAACAAAGCTCAGATCATCAACTGCTCCATTAATCCCTTCAGTTTCCCTCTAAAGTGGATTTAAATTCTATCTTGTGCTTTGCAGAAGCTACTTTTGAGTTCTTTTTCCCCCCAAGAACATTTTCTGTTTCAGCATGAAACCTATCCCTGCTAGGGCCTAACATTAGGAAAACAGAATAGACAAGGCACAGAGAGGCACATAGCAAAAATTCCCACATTTTTTAAATCAACCACTGATATTCTGGAAGAAAACCTCTGCAACATTTTGCTTTCCCTTATGTTTCAATTCAAGGCGAGTGCAGCTAAAGAAATCACTGTCTTGGTGCTCCCCCTTGCAACCACTGCCAATGCTGCGGCAGTCCCCTAACCACAAGAGACTCCCCAGCCTTTCCCTGGGTGAAGGCTGGCAACCAGCAGTCCATATACAAGGTTAGTTCCAAAGACACCATCATGGCATGCCATGGGCAGGTGTGGAGCTCAAGAACATTCACCTCCCCACCTCACGCTTTTCATAGACCTATTTTCATAGACATTACTGTCTCTCAGGGAAATTCCCCAGCTTGTTTTCTCCTTCCACAATAAATAGATCACTGACAGTGACTCAAGTCATGTTCTCATAGACTTGGACTTTACACTGTAATCTGCTAACGAGGTCTCACACGTGAGCGCCTACAACCCAGTCATTCCTGCAATGACCAGATGCACTCTCTGCATCTTTTTCTCTTTCCTTCCTCACCTCATTGGATTTCCTCCATTTTCCACTTTTTGGCCAGGAGCGACAACATGGTTTGGTTGCCTCATTTCCACTCAAAGCCATGCTAGTGCCCACTGTTCATGTCAGGGAGTCGCTGAGGTTGGGGAATACATAGCACTGATCCGAGCTGAAGAGCTTAAATGGGCAAGGAAGTTCTGTGATGGAGAGACCCCAGCTACAGAAAAGATCATGTGCAGCTAAAACAGCAGAGAGACCAGGCTTCTTTGTCCACAGTGAGCCTCTTCCTAGCAGGAGATAATGTATTGCTATAGAAAGACCTGCTTGAGCAGACAAGGCAAAGTCAGTAGCACAGCTGAAGCACAGGAAATGACAATGAAGGGGGAAGGAAAAATTGGTTTTTGAAAGAAACTAAGAGCTCTTTAAAACTCTGTAGGCTAGGGGTGAACTTTGAGTGACCAGAAAACCATGTGGTAAATCTCATAAATGGAGGATTTAAAACTGACCTGTCCGGGACAGGTGATTCTCAGCAACTAGATAGGAAAGTTTCTGTGAAGTGTTATGTAGGATGGATTTGGTTTGTCCTTGGGAAAAATTGGGGTGCAAATTCTAGCTGGCTTGAGACAGTTATAGAAATTCAGAAATCTCTTTATTTCCACAAATGAGATGAGACAGCATCCTTCTGAGGCCATAATGCTTGTACAGCAGATTACCACAAAAACTGTATCTAAGTCATCATCCCTTAATGCCTCATGCTCTGAATGATGGTAAATATGAGATCTGGGGGAGAGGAGAGGTGAATGCAGTATTTTGCAAAGAATAAAAGAGACTTCTATGGGGTATATACACACATATAGACATATATACGGAATATACACATGTGTATATATTCCATAGAAGTCCTGGGAAGCCCATTGGCAATAACAGGCCTTTTCTACCACAAGGCACATCATTTGTGTCCACTGTACACTAACAGTGCATTTCACAAGCAAAATGGTGCCTGCTGCAACTCCATTACAGGTGAGACTTGCTTGAACCATTTTCCATGACACCAGGATATTTATTGTAGTCCTGTTAGAGCTGGCTTTTCCACCCACATCAGCTCTTAGTACATATAGCACACTAGCACATTTTAAATTACATATAATAATATATTTGGCATTACTTGTTTTAAAGTGGTGCAAACATATTAATCCACACATCTAACCGAGTGGAAATCCTCTCTTTCTCTCTTTTTCCCCCCTTTTGAGTGCTAATAATGTTTCTGTAATAGTGACCAACAAATAGAACAAATATGCAGGGACTGATTCTGACCCTGTGGTACGTCAAATCCTCCTCCACAGAAGCCAATGGCTTAAAGTCAGAGTAAAGCCAACTAAATGAGGCAGAGAACGAGCTTAAAGGGAAATATCTCAGGCAGAATCCATGAAGTGGATGCTCAGATTTTTCCCAAAGCTAAATAAGGACTGAAGTGTTCTGAGAAGTTTGCGTTTAGTGAATTAGAAAATCATCTGTAATGCAAACCGTTTCTCGAGAAGTGAAAATGCAGATGCATCAGCATTTTCAATTGAATGAGAGGACAATGCAATCTGGCCATGTGAACAAGTGGCCTTTCCATCTGTGGTCAGACTGAAAACAGGTTTTGGTTTGGGTGGATGTGAAACTAAAACAGTTGTAAGAAAAAAATCCAAGCTGGAGAAAAAAGGGTAAAAGAGGCAGCTCATGTTAAATAAGTTAAAACTGTGCAATTTCAGGGTTTGACTCTTTATATATTTTTAGGAAGCAGAACAAAACCATTGCAAGAAATTATTTTTTTTTTTTTTTGTCTATGTAAAGCCTGTTCAAAATACTTCAATTCTTAGGAACTTTCTCCTTCCTTAGTCTCCTTGGTCCCCAAAAACCTAACACTAAATGTAATGCAGATTCATTTTTAGTTCCACTTACCTACCATTCTCTTTCCCCTTAAAAACTATTGATATGTAAGCATTAACTTTTTTCTCCATAGACATAAGGAAGTCAACTTAAATCAAGCAATAAGATATAAGCTCCAATCTTACCAACATATACTTGTGCTGTACTTAGTCCCGAGCATGTGGCTAGAGGGGTATCATTGTCAAAGCAAGCTCAGTTTTCCTATTTGGTGTATGGGAAGGATAAAAATCTACATTGCTCAAATGGAAAGGGGATAAAATGTTTTACCTATGCCAATATCAAGTACACCATTGTAGGATCAACCCTCCAAATCAAGGAGCACTTATGTGGACCGTATCCAGCACATGTATGTTGGCAGGATTAGGGTGTAGAGGTGTAAAACTGAAGGTTATGTTCCTTAGCAAAACATAACCCAAATGATGAAAAGGATACTGCTGGGATGAGTTTGGACATAACCGTTCAGTAGCTATTAGGATAAGCACACCAGTAGAAAGGGAAGTTGGGGGAATCTAATTTTTCACCTCTGTATGGTATAACTGACCACACTGTGCTGTATTTTATTTATCTCCTAAATGGCCCATCATTTCAGATGAGAAATGAGGAGAAAGTTCATTCTTTAGAAGAATCAGGAAATGTCAAGAATCCTTGCCCAAATGTGGGTATTAGATACCAGTATAGCATTTTGCTACTGTAAAGGATTTTGTATGAGTGACTGTATTAATGCCTTGTGCTTCAGCACTGATGTGTTTTTACCAGTAGAACTGACTTAGCCTCATGTTTCCAAGCTTTGTGATAATAAAAATGCAAGTTAATTAATGTGACAACTTTTGATCCTGGTTTCAGAAACTCTAACCAAATGGCACAATTAAGAGGAGTGAGCCAGTAGAGCCAGATAATGCTGATATGAAACTTATTTCTTGTGTGTTAATGTGTGAATGATCCTTGTTTTATGCACTGATAGAGGTCGCTTACCAGAGTGAACTCCGAGTCAGTCTTTCCCCCAGGGTCTGTAGAGACAGAAGGCAAAGCCGTAAAGGTTGAGCAGATTTCCTTTGCCAGTCCCTTTGCAGGGCGGGGAAAAGCTGATTCCTTCTTTTTGCTATTTCTTAGTCTATTTTCAAAAAGCAAGCCCGAATGAAAAGCAATGATCATCAGAAGCTGCATCATAGCTGCACCCACTGAGCACCCATGGGAGACAGGAGCCACAGTATCGCCACCCTGCCAAAAAGCCAGGTTTGCCTTGTCTATAACCATGCATAACAGCTCCTTGGCAGCTTAGCAGTTGAATGCTTTCACTTGTTCAGCTCCAGGCACAACAAAGCTAGGACATCCTGGCCAGATGAGGGTCAAATGAAGGCAGCCAAGCTATGGACAACCTTAGCCCTGTTCTAGCTCAAACTTTGCTGTCCTTACTCTTTCAGAACAGCAACCACTGGCTATGTATTTCTAATCCTGGATGTTTGATCTTCAATTCCTCTGCTGCCAAGAATGCAAATTCTTTCATTACTGTAGCAAAATTGAGAAGTTTTCACATAGATTTTGTATTTTCAAATTTTCTTTTGTTTTCCTGGCTGGAACTTGGAGTGTCACATTTGAATTGCTTCAGAAGAGGTTTCTGATTAAAGGCTTAAGGCGGGTTTTTACTTGAGAACTCTGACAGAGGACGTGTTTACCCTGGTTTCCATCCACCTGCAAATGCAGCCTTTGTAGATGAGCCAAGATTTCATTAGAGAATAGGAATAAAACTGCTTTCTCCTGGAACACCAGAAAGATTGAGGAGGTTGAGGTTTTTTATCCAATTGCAACCTCACATTTAAAAGAGCAGCAAAAGTAAATTATAATTTTCCAATTATTTTCTGTTTTAACTTGAGCTAAGCAAAATTCATTTGATTTATTGCCATTTTGTTCTCTGCTTTGCACACCCAGGGTAATAGCTTAGCATCATCTTTGTGGTCTAAATAAAGTGGCACATACAGCCTCCCCCATCGAGCATTGTGCTTCATTTTGCCTACCTTTAACCATATAAAAGATGTCTATTCTCAACAATTTTCTAGGCTCCTTCTCTAGCCAGGTAATGGTAAGAGATGCACATTCCTGAAAGGCTACATAAGCTAGGAAAGGTGGGGATAACAGAGGTGCTTCTCTCCCAGGGCTGCAGAGGGATGTGCGTAGTCTTTTCTTAACTAAATGCAAGTAAGATAATGGCAGCACTTGGTGAATGTGATCACTGCACTGCACTGCACCCAGCTGGATAGAGCTGGCAAGCTACTGGCAAGGCTGAATCTCTGTAGGGCTTAGCATTAGCAAATATACATGTGGACATGAATCCTGAAGGAAAGGAGAACCTCACTTCCATATGATTAAGTTGTTGCTCCGTGAAATTCATCCTGCAGAGTAGAACACTACCCATGAGAGTTCCTTGCTCTCATCTTTTGGCCAAGATGCCCAACCACAGCTGGATGTGCTACTTGCCAGCTTTGTTCTTGTATGAAGACCCCTTTTCCCAGCTGGGGACAATTTCAATGTCACCATTAATATGTCCAGCTTTTAGGAAGAGCTCTGGCAGGAGCATGGAGACTTTGTCCCCTAAGCATCTTGCAGGATGGAGCATAAGATGAGATGAAATATAAGTGATCTGCTCTCATAGGAAGTCCTATGCTATAAAAATCTCAGCTCTTGGCCAGGCAGCTGAATAAGTGACATGCTTTCTAACACACTCAGCATCCATCAGACAAGTTCTCAAAGGAAATGAGGACTCCACTCTTGGGTTTGTTTCTGAGGCCTGGTGCCAAAGCTAGATTAGGAATTGCACAAATAGGAGCTGTATTTATCAACAGCTCCAAACTCATTTTGCCTCGGAAGTATTATTGCTAAATCCTTCAGAACATCATGAAAGGCATTGCTCAAGAAGTTACAACCTGGTTCATTTAGCACCATAAGTCAGGACTGTTTGGGGTTTTTGATGAATGAACTGAAGTAGCTTTCCAGATGCTCTCATTCTTGCACAAAGAAACGTTCTTTCATTGATTGTACAGTTTGATATTAAAACATCAAAAAGGCACTGAAAGTGATTGCTGCATATTTATTGATACTGTACATATGGTTTTAATTTTATGTGAGAGAAACTGTAAAAACCATGGTATAAAGTTTAGCTGTATCGTACTTAATAGCTATTTATTTTAGAGAATGTTTTTGATGCTTTCTGACAATAAAGTTTACAAATAGTTCTTTAAAAAAGAACTTTGTCTTAAAGCAGAAAAAAAAAAATAAAAGCATTTTATTTGTTTCATATTTATTCCTGAGTCTGTCTTTATTCTAATGAACACCCACCAAGTGCTCATGTTTACAGCTGGGAAGGGCAGATCTTTACTCATGCCAGAGTGGTTGAAGCGTGCTCTGTAATGCATGTTACAGAGGTTCTCAGATGTGTAGGGTTTGGGTATTTTTTATGTAAGCTATTAATCACATACAGAATACACACAGAGAAAATTTATCCTAATCCAAATAAGCCAAATTCATCTGAGGACAAGTTTCAGGCATTTTCACAAACCTTCCTTTTAAGGGCTTTAAAGAGAGAGTTTTGGGCAATGGCATATGACTGAGCACTAGGGGAACGGGTTTAAAATTAAACATGGGAAGTTTGGGTTAGATATAAGGAAGTCCTTTACTGCGAGAGTGCTGAGGCACCAGAACAGGCTGCCCAAAGAAGTCAGGAATGCTCCATCCCTGGCAGCGTTCAAGCACAGACTGAACAGAGAGAGCTTTGGGCGATATGGTCTTACGTGAGGTATCCCTGGCCATTGCAGGGTGTTGGAACTGGATGACCTTAAGGTCCTTTCCAGCCCAAACCATTCTGTGATTCTATGATTCTCAGTTCCACACTGATTTAAACCTTTTTCTCTGAGAAATAGGTGAAACTCACTTTCATTTTTAACGGTGCCAAGCGCCCTTAAACAACATCCATCTCTCTCCAAAGAGACTCACAGTGCATCCCCAAAATGTTGTACCTTGCTTTAGAATAAAAAGCTCCCATTTAACTCCTTTCTGCTCAACAATAAGAAGATTATTCAGTAAAACCTCACTGTGTTTTGACACTTCTTTAGCATTTCACATTGCAGCAGAATAATAGAAACAGAATATATTCAGGATAGATTCAGAAAATACTTGAGTCTTCAGTTCCTAATTCTCACAACTGGACTCAATTCACCAACTCCTCAACTTGGTATTTCTGTAAAGATACCAAAGGAAAAAGTAAACCTGCATGCAGAGAACAAAGTGGGAGGAATCTATGAAGGCATCAGCAAGCAAAAAGCTGTCAGGGCATGGTTATGTGAAAAAAAAACCCACACAAAATAAAGGTTTGCTCACTACACTTCCTTTCTCTCATCAGCACCTGAAAGCAAATGATGAAAAACGGCATCTTTTCTAAGTGCTGCCCATGCCCTGACCCTATATAGCAAGGTGACTTCGCTTCTTGAAGAAAAGGAAGTGAGACTTCTGTACTTAAATCAGGGGATTCTTTAAGACAAAACCAAGGAGATCTGAAACAACCTTTTCCTATAGCAGTGGGACTGTTCCTCTTTCTTATCGAGTTATCTAGTGAGAAGGTAAGAAAGATATTACAGCATGTGGAAAACTCCAGTATGTGGGTACATAGGTCCATTGAAACCAGACACTGCCTTATTTGTGTGTTATCAGCATTGTTCTCAGGCTGAAGCTGAAAACACAGCACTGCACCAGCTACTACAAAGGAGAAAAATAACCGTTACAGCTGAACCCAAGATATTTACCCATCAACTGCAGCTAATTCTCATATAGGCAAACCCATTATTCCTTACCCCCACTTCCAAATTACAATCACAAACTCAAGAAGATATTTATGGCCATTCTTCCCAGAAAAGTCTTACACCACCACAGGGTTAATCTCCTAAGGGATAAGGCAAACTACCCTGCTACCAGCTCCTGCTGTACACTCTCTGGAGGAACTCGGGATTGAGCTACACTCCATTCTCCTTTACTTTCTATAACCCAAGTCAGATCACTGCAGAACAACAGTGATGAGGGGACATCAGGCAGGTCCCAGTGTGTCTGGCCTATGTAATTTCTCCACCCTCCCTTTAAGCCTGTCCATTGCCAGGATGCAAACCTTCAAACACTAAAGCTGTCTCATAATAAAGGAGTTCATACTCATCTTCCTATGAAGGACTGTGGCCCCTCAACACAGTCTCTACCCCCTCTATTAGCCCTTCAGAAGTAGCTACATCTCCTAACTCCAGAAGTTCCCAAGGTCCCTCTGCTGACACACCAGACACCCTTCCCTTTGCAGCAGAGGATACAAATGAGGCTATTTCACCTTCATCGCACATTAAGGCCAGTCTAATGTCAAGGCTCATTCACTTAGGTTTATGTTCACACAGCTTAAAAAGTCAGCAGAAAATATATAACTTTAGCTCATGCTTCACAAAGCAGGCATCTGATAGCCTCCTGTGGCCCTAGAAATCACCACCCCAGCATTGGGGAATATTTCATGTTCAGTAGTTTTCCCCCAAAGTGTCAAGTAAGCAACCATCTACAACTCAAAACTCCGCTATATTTTCATGCATTACTAGTACAGTACTGGCAGCAAGCAGTGCATTCAGATCAGGATTCAGCTCCAGAAACACCACATTGGCAAAACAAGAGGTGAAGAGACAGAAGATTCATTCTTACAGTAAATCAAAGACTGAAGATACTTAAAGATACAGGCAACACTCCAAAATATCAGCCCAACGGTCTATTGCAGCCAATACTTGAGCAAGAGTGGCAGAAGATGTTGTTTAGAGAACAGGGTTCTGACAACTATTCGATTCATTTATCTCCTATCCTATTGCAGCCATGCTTACATCTACCATAGCAGGGTTTTCAGAGGGTACATCCATACTTGTTCCCTTTAGTAACAAACCCATCAGTATCAGGTCCACAAAATGACTAATGACATTCTGAACAAGCCTTATTTGTTCCTTCAGTTTCCTGAGGAAGATTCCCAAAATTCTTTCCCTGCTGTGTAAGAGAATCTTTACCTGATTCAACCTGAAGGTGAGAACAGCCTATGAGCCCGGGGCTGCAGCACTAACCTGGAGCACAGGAGACATGCGATCAAGTCTGGGACAGGTTCTCCTTTCTGAACATGACAGTTGCCCGTCAGCACTTGTGTTTCTGGTTGTTTATCACTCAGCAACATGCACCACATGAAAGGAACCACATCAGAAGCCACGCTTGCACTCTCTTCACACATCCATGTGGGAGGACACAACCTGTGTGTCTTCTTGGCTACCAGAAGCCACAGGAATTAGCATAGGTGTTAATCCACAGAGTGATTAGCTTACTGCACCACATGAGGCCACCCTGCAGTGAGCAGGGTGCACCCTGTGTCAAAGGAACATCTTTGCTCAAAAAGGCCACCAGTAAGTGCTAGCATAATAAATACTACTGAACAAATGTCACTTCTTTTTATCCTGCCATCTTCCCCGTTCTTATATAGCACCACAAAATCCCAGCCTGCTTTGGGTGGGAAGGGACCTTAAAGCTCACCCAGTTCCAGCCCCCTGTCACAAGCAGGGACACCTTCCACTGGAGCAGCTTGCTCCAAGCCCCACTGTCATTAATATCAGATCTGAGAGACAGAAAATAGCCATCAGACAGGACATTGCTTGCTTGCTTGCTGCTGTTTTACCCTTTGTGGGCTTTTTCCATCTGACTCTTCATCTAAAGTAAGTGTTTCTTTTTTTCTTTCCCTTCTTCCCTGCTCCCTCTGGGACAGTCACAGAACGAGGAACCCACCCTGCAGTTCTTTGAGACCCATGCTCCATGGGTCAAAGAGGGGCGCAGCAGAAGGCTGCTCTCGGCCACAGCACAGCCTTCCCACAGCAGGGACCTACAAGGAATTCCAGGAATCACAACAATAGGCTCAGGGAGCACAGCAACATGTCCCACTCACCCTGTAGTCATCGCTAATGATTACTTATGTGGATAGGGTCCAGAGGAAGCCTTTGGCTGTAGCCAAGGCACTAACTTAACTCAGAGTTGCACACAACAGGAAATATCTCATAAGTATTAGTTGTTGTTTGAGCGTTTTTTACTGGGGCACTAAAGGGAGCCAGAACTGAGTAAATGAGAAAACAGATTAAAACATGACCATGAGCAGCCAGGCTCCCTCTGTTTCCCCTACAACCACCCCATAGAACATGCCTCAGTTTCCCTTCCATACCTTCAGGAATCAGCACATCCCGACACTTGAAGCTCACTGCACACCGAAGCACCTACTGCAGACCCCACTCACAGCCTGCAGCAATCCACTGTCAAGAGAACCAGTTCTATTCCCACTCCCCCTTTTGTCTTCCCCTCCCATGCTCACACCTGCAGGCAGGGCTAATGGAGACAATTAGCTCTCATTAACACCTCCCTCCCTATGGCAGACATCAGCCCTCTTGCATGTGTCACTGCCTTGGGAGGACCCCTTCAACTCAACTCAGGCTCTGTCTGCATCTCTCTGTGCTGCACCTCAGTGGACAAAACAACACCAAAATGCATAAGCACTCTCTTGGTGCTTTTCTGTTCTTCTGAGATGTCTTGGATCGCCCTCCTCAGCCTCCAAGCCATGGGCAGATTCCCATTTCTGTAATTCTTTTTCTACCTGCACTTTTGCTCTGATTTGGATGTGGTGAAAAAGAACCAGTCGTTAGGCTTCTGCAACTCCCTTGTAAATTATGCCATTATCCCCATCCACAGATGTCAAATGACTCCCCCTTCACAAGTGAGCTCTGTGCTTCCATTTACTGCTTACACTGGAGAATATTAATATATTGTAATTTAGTCTTTGTTTTCCCTGTCTACACAGGGAATGACCCAAAGCAGCAACAGAGCCAAACTACAATGACTTACACATGACAAAGAGAATTAGTTATTGGGAAGGACTTCCAAACACCACGTGTGCGCTGGTGCAGCCACCCAAAACCTTACTTGTTTTCTTAGGAATAACTCCTGTATTCCCAGAAAATCAGGATGTTTCTGGCACTTTAGTAAGAGGAGGTACTGATTTAACTGGATTCAGTCCACAGCAAGAGAGTATCCGAGGCTCATTAGCATATTAATTCTCTTATCATTCCTTTGAGATAGGGAAAGTCCGGTTTTGCAAACTGGGAACCATGGAGACACTAAATGACTCATCTGGAGTCACACAGGAAACCTGCGCTGGGCAAAGGAAAGGAAATCAGAAAGCTCTTCCAAAGTCCCCCACTTGCCCCCTAACCTCCTCCC